CGGAGAAGCGGTTTTCTGTGGGCTAGAGGCACAAGCGAGTGGTCTCCAGGGTCCTCATACCTGCGTCCAGCAGACCGAGGTTTCGATCCAGGCTTCTTTGTATTTTACTGTATAAATATTCCATAGGGGATCTGAGTTGAGGAAAAGTTAAATTACTTCAAAATTATCAAAATTACTAAAATAATATCTGAATGACAACAAAATCTAAAGGCTAATTTTAAAACTTTTATTATAAATGAAATATTCCTCCTTTTTACAATAAACATGGAAATTGCACAGAAATTAAATCTATATCTCATCACAAAGATTGATTCATCAAGTTCCACAAAATAGAAACTGTATAAGTCACTCTCTGTCGACATTAAAACATACTTCATGTGGCTACATTTGATAGAAGAAAAGTTAGTCACATGTGCTCTTATTATTCATCATAAATAATAATTGTACTAATCATTCAGCTCAAAAGGTTAAGAGTGTATATTAATATGCTGATCACAAAAGAGGAAACAGTAAATTTAAAAACACAGAAATTCACAAGTTAAAACAAAAACTAGCAGTGAAAAATCAAAATGCTTATTCTAAAGACCAGTAAAATAGATAAATCTCTAATAAGGCTAATAATTTAAAGATCATTATATCTCATGTTATTGGGTACTTAATTTGCCATACATTTTGCTAAGATATTTACAAGAACTTATCTAATTCTTAAAAGAATATTCTGATAATCATTTCTTCGTTTATTCATAGATATTTATTAAGTACTAACAAAATATCAAACATCATATGAGGCACTTTGGTTCAGATCTCTGGAAAAAAAAAAAGATTTCATTGCACTAAAATTTGTATTCTCGAGGAATAACTAAAAATCTCCATTTTACAGATAAGAAAACCAAATTCAGAGAAGTTAGGCAATTTTTCTAACGTCACATAGCCTTTTTGTGTCTAAATTAGATTTGAACCCAGGTTCCATTAAGGCACATGTTCCGGTTACATAATGCTACCTCTGTGGGGGAATAAATACAGAAAGCATATATTCACATCATCAAAATTATGAAAAATGTATAAAGATCATTATCATGTAATTGTAAACTTTTTTTTTTGCCTACTCTTTGCCAGGCATGTTAAGTAATTTAATTTCCACAATTATTCTCTGGCATACACAATAATATTTTCACCATTGTTTACAACTCAGGAACTTGAAGATGAAATGTTAAAGAACTTGTAGTTGCAGAACTCCCTTCATACCCAGGAAATCTCACTGTGAAAGCTGCACTTTACTACAGTCAGTAACCGCTTATGGTTGGGAATGTCTTTGTAAAAAGTTTGACAATTTTAACTCACTGCTAAAACATTGAATTTCTAATAAAATAATTGATTTTCTAATAAGACATGAATTAATGAAGTTGAAAAAAGCAGAAATTTAAACAACACAACAACACAAGGGAAAACATGATCAAAAAACTAATTCTGGGTGGTGCCTGCGGCTCAAGGAGTAGGGTGCCGGCCCCATATGCCAGAGGTGGTGGGTTCAAACCCAGCCCTGGCCAAAAAAAAAAATAGTTCCACTGATGGTGGCAGACCCAGGGGACTTTTTCTCAGAGTCCTATCAGTATTTCAAGGAAAACATACTATTTAAGTTGATAGAGAATACAGGTGATGGGAATATTCTAGCATGTTTACCAAGTAATGGCTCATCACTGTGATATTACATCTGTCAAAGCTATCTGTACCAAACCAATCATGGACTCACTAACACTAGTATCCCCACAGACAGACAAGTGTAAAACCTACAGACAATCTTGACTCTGAATATACATGCAAAAATCCTAAATTAAAAAAAAAAATCACAAATCAATTCTAGTATATTTTAAAAGAATAACGTGCCATAAGAATGTAAGAGGTATTCCAAAAATGCAAGATTTATCATTTCCGGATATCAAATATATGTCTCTAAACAAATAAGCAGAAATTGCTGATTCCTTAAGTCAGCAATTTTAATTGTATATTTCATTCCTAAGAAACAAATTAAAAATGTATTCAAAGATACATGGGGGGGTTACCATAACATTGTTTATAATAGTGAACACAATATCACCTAACGCCAGTGAGAATGGCTTTTATCAAGAAGCCTGAGAACAACAGATGCTGGTGTGAATGCAGAGAGAAGGGAACCTTCTCCAGCACTGGTGGGGCTGCAAACTAGTGCAACCCCCCTGAAAAATACCATGGAGATACCTCAAAGAACTAAAAGTCAACCTACCATTTAATCCAGCTATCCTGCTACTCAGTATTTGCCAAAGGGGAAAAAATTATTTCATCAAAATGCACATATACTGGAGAATGCTTATAGGAGCACAATTCACAATTGCAAAGATGTGGAATCAACCCACGTGCCCATCCATACATGAGTGGATTAATACGATGTAGTATGTGTATACCATGGAGCAATGCTCAGCCAAAAAAACAAAGAAAAAAAAGGTGAACTAACACCTTTTGTAACAACCAGGATGGAACTGGAGACCATTCCTCTAAGCAAAGTATCCCAAGAATGGAACAATAAACCTTCTATACACCATTTGTGTGTGTACTAAACCGAAACTAATCGGTCAACACTCAGGTGCACCCGGCTAGTGAAGCTCAGGGAAAGGCAAGGAGACGGAAGGGTGGGGGGGACCGGAGAATCCGTGCCTCAGTGCACACTATCTCAGTGACAGGCACGCTTTTCAGTTTGACTCAGACTACACAAAAGCGATTCATATGTAACCTCCTCTATGAGACCCAAGGCTGTCCAGATCTCATTTCAAGAATGAGATTCAAGAACATAAGGTAAAAAAGATCTGAGGTATGAAATGGTGCAAGGAAGGTAGAAACAGTATCCATTATCTGGAAAATATTCACCTAATTTTCTGATGAAAGATATGGGGAAGTGTAACTTGTTACTGAAGGTCATTCCTTCTTATTTTTAAGTCTCAGAGTTTTTAGGTTTTAGCAAAGTATCCTCTGGCCCCATATGCAATATTCTAAAACTAAATAAAAAGTAATGAATTTTTAAAAGAAAAAGTAATATAAAAACATCTTACATTTAGAATTTATAATCTATGGTAGACTGTTGTACAAAAGATGTAAGTAGGATACACAAAGCACGTTGCCATTGAAAGGCAAGAATTCTAGCTGGCTCCACAAAGTGTGTTGCTGAAAAGGTGACATTTAGGGCAAGTCTCAGAGGATTAGTAGGATTTTAACAAATAGGATTGGTAAAACAGAGAGATTTGTTTCTGAATCAGGAGATGTGGAAGGAAGTTGTAAAAAATCAAACTGAAAAAAGGTGATTGGGTCCAGAGCATAAAGTGTATTCAGTGTAAACAGTTTTAATAAATCAGTGGAACAGAACTGAGAAGCCTAAAAGAGATTCGAATATGTAGGAATTGATCATGACAAAGGCCACATTTCAAATATTGTGGGAAAAAGAATGTCCCTCATTTAGTGATGGAGAAATAATTAGTAGTATTCTCTATCTCACACCAGAAAAAATAGTCTATAAATATACAAATATTTGGAAGTAATAAAAAAAGCTACCAAAAATACTCAGAAAATAATGACAAACTTGAGTTTCTATACAAGAAAAAATCTAGAAGGACATTATAGACATGATTATTTCTCCCTAAAAACGTTTATGTATTTTATCACAGATGCCATCAGAAGCTAATAGTACACTGGGGGTGGGGGGTATATTTCTGAGGACCAAAATCTTCATGGCTGTAATAAACAAAGAAGTCTTAGATATTAAACTGTAAATCAGCTGACAAAAATGAAAGACAAATAAGAAACATGACATGAGCAAACAATTTACAGAAATGCAGATATAAAGGTCCTATAAATTTATGGAAAAGATGTTCGACCTTCTTAGAGTCGAGGGAAATATTAATTAAATAAGCAACAAGTTACCATTAATTTACCTATCAATAAGAACAAAATCAAACAGATTAATCATATGCAATACTAGCAAGAATATTGGGAAACAGTATCGTATATTACTCATCGGTGTGGGAATTGCTGCTATCTGTGCCTATATTGAAAAACAACCTGGCAATATGTATTTTTTTTTAAATATGGGACGCTTCACAAATTTGCGTGTCATCCTTGCGCAGGGGCCATGCTAATCTTCTCTGTATGGTTCCAATTTTAGTATATGTGCTGCCGAAGCAAACACATGACAATATTTATTAACGTGAAAAATGTGCGGGCCCTTTATTCCATCCATCCCAGTTTTGTGAATGTCTGCAGCAGAGAAGGAAAGCAAAAATACTCAAAACACGGCGAGGCGGTTTGTAGCAACATTGATTTTTTTAATAGTTAATAAACAAGGAAGAACAAATCCGGGGCTATGCCAAATGTCTAATTATAAGGCAGGTCATTAAATTCTGTTTTATTTATATAGTTACAATGAGTCAGGCCAATATTTATTGAATATGGTCTTTTAGTAATAAAGTAGCAAGTATCCAAGACTTACATCTTTTAAAAATCAAAAGTAAGCCATCGTGTATGTGAACGCAGGCTCGTAAAGACAGAGTGGAGATGCATGTAAATTGTATTGGTTGCTGCAGAAAGACAGAGGGACGGAGGCTGGACAAGTTTTTATTTAACTTGTGACCCTTTTGTTGGACTCATTGCAATAAGCCTTTATTAGGAATTTCAATAAATTTTGTCATTAAAAATATAGCAATGTTTTAAAAAATAGAGTGTAATCTAGTAAAACCTGTAAAGTATTATCTCTGAATTGCTTTTCTGAAATAAGCAAGGGAAGGAAGCTGCTCTTGTGTAATCCAGCTGCTTAGCAGACGATCCACATGGAAAGGGAAATCCATCAGCCAGCACGTGGCCTTTAATTGTGATTACATCTTATTGTACTCACCCTATTAAGTACTCAGATTACCAGATAACAGAATCTCTGTTCCTGATAGTGGAAAGTACGTTAACAGTATTTTCGCTCCCTATTGTAGCCCTGTTCCAACTATCACGTGGATGAAGGTTAATGGTTATATTCCCAGTAAAGCTCGTCTGCGGAAATCTCAGGCAGTGCTGGAAATACCAAACGTCCAGCTGGATGATGCCGGCTTCTATGAGTGCAGAGCTGAAAACTCGCGTGGAAAAAATTCCTTTCGTGGACAATTACAAGTCTACAGTAAGTGTCTGTGGCACAGCAGGACGCCCTAGTTCCGAGAGTCAAACTGAAAATGTAAATTAATTTAAATTAATATTGTTTGTTATGTACATAAAAAGCAAGTAATAATTTATCATCATACTTCTTTTGCGTGGTAAAACATCAAGTAAAATTATCCTACACAAGAAATGATTTAAGTTAAAAATGAGTGGGGAATTATCAGTCTCCTGGTACAACATGCAGAACTTATACCCTAAAAAATGAGATCGTTTCCTGGGACCAGTACTGCCCTCTGATAAGTTAAGAATCTTATAAACGCTATTAACTTGTCCTAGCACTGGGCCTGAATCAGGGGTGAAAATCTATTGCCTAGATCTCAAACCCTGCCCAGCTGCTGTTTTCTGTAAATAAAATTTTATTAAAACACACTCATACCAATATTTTTTTTTTTTTGCATATCATCTCTGTCAGTGTTTGCCTCACTCTAACAGGATTTAGTAGAGAAGAAACCACATGCCTTTCAAAGACAGAAATACTTACCACTCAACCCTTAACAGAAAAAGTCTGTTGTCATCTGGCTTGAATTAATACATCCATATGAGAAACAGCCTCTGAAGCCTGCAGATGTTTGTATTGTCCTAAAACGTCAAAGAGTCAACCACGTTGTGTCTAAGAATCAGGAAAATCTGGTTAAAAAGTTAAAATTAAAATTAAAAATTTTAACTTTATTTCTAAGGATTACAAATCGTGCCCACTTTTCATACTTGCTTTTTGTTCATTATTTTATTTCAGATTAATATAAGGTACAAAGGATTAGGTTACAAAGTTTGCATTCGTTAGGTAAAATCTCTGTTGTAGCTGTGTCCTGCACTGAGGAGGTGTGCCGTATACCCTTACATTATGCCCATTAGATGGGAAACACTGATCCCCCCACCCCATCCCTGCCCCCTCCCTTCCCACGCATCCCCTCTTGTGTGGGGTGTATTAGTTCATCTACTGGCTTCATATTAGTATTGAGTACATTGGATTCTTACTTTTCTATTCTTGTGATACTGTACTAAGAAGAATGTGTTTCAAATCCATCCAAGTTAATACTCATATTTGCCTGTATAATAATATACATACAGGGTAAGTGATAATATTCATTTCCCAGGTGAGGATTCCAAACCAGAGAGAAATACAATAAGCCAGAGCGTTAACAATGTAAAGCAAATATAGATGCTTCGAAGAGGCAATTACCCTAATTGTGTATTGGCTGATTCCTCCAAGAAACCATGACAGTCCCTGTGTCTCGAGATCAGTTCTTCTACAAGCTTAATGCATGTTACATGACTTCAAATGGCCTTTCCTTTTCTTTAACAACTCCTTTAGAAATACAGCTCTCTCAACAAACTGAATATGCCTTGCCTTGCACATTTCATTCATTCAGTGTTGTTAAGTGCAACTTAAGGCCCTCTGTGCTAGCAGGAGAGCTTCTGGGACTCATGGCTCATCGGATGAGAGGAGAAGTGAGCCCCACCTTAGAGCAGAGCATGCCAGGTGTTGTGATAAAGGCATATGCCAAGGACATGGGACCCTCCTCAGACGACCCAGGGAAGGCTTTGCAGAGGATCTTTCCTTAAAGGCGACACAGGGGGAGGTATCCTGAAAGGAAGGAAAGGAAACAGAGTCTTAAAAATGCCAAAGACTGAGATATCAGCACGGCTTTGGTTATTTGGGGAACATGGATGCTACATTTGGATGAAATCCACAAAGTTTACAACTTTATAATTCCTTAAGTCATTATGACAACTCTATTGCCATATGCGGGGGAAAAAAGGTTGTTTTTTCTGTATCCAATGGAACAATGATTAATGTTCAAATACATTATGTCATCTTATCCTCACAGCAACAGCATCAAGTATCGTTAGTCCCACTTTAAGCATAAAAATCTGATAATGGAAGATAAGAGTTCAACCAGAATTTCAGAGCTCAAAACCACAAATCTTGCAAGGGAGGTCTGGTACCCTAAGGGCACTGAGAGAAAGTCCCCGATCTCTCTGTGGTGCAGAACACCCCACACTGAAAGACAAATGAGTTGTGTCATCTGGGGACTGAAGTTCGTCCTGGACACTGTGCTGGTCGCTCCTCACCTCACCCAGATACTTAATTCATAGGTGATCATGACTGTTGCCAGGACTGCAGGAAAACAAGGGCTTTCATTCCATGCTCCTGGTGTACATTCTGTGAGAGTGTTTACTGCTAAGAAACAGTCTGGGGGCTCTCCCAGTCAGGCACCTTACATAGTCCCTGTAGGCCAGCGAGGTAAAGACAAACCTGACCAAAGTGGGCATCAGCAAGCATTTAGAAATGCTTCTACAGTAGAAAGAGAAACTGGGCCAGTGAGCTGTTTAGTGTGCATTTCTGACAGTTGGGCAATATTTTCGTCTTTGCAAGGACAAGTTTTCCTAAAGGCATGTGCTCTCCCACTGCAGCCCACAGTAGGCCAGCCTCCTCCTGGCCTCCAGCAGGGGGCCAGACACTTTGGTTTGGCCTAGATAATTCCAGTTGCCTTCTCTTGCCCTGGGACCATAAACAGTGCCCCATTTCACTTCTAGAGCTTTCTCAGTTCTCACACATTCATCTCACTTTCGTGTTTTTGAAACTGTCATTTGGACATGAGGGTTCTCCTCTCCATCAAACTCTATAAAATGTAGGACAGATCTTAGTCGACCCTTCCACCTGACGAGCAGCTGTGTGGCACATCTGGGATTTTTATTTAGAGGCCTCGCTCGTAGAAAGGATTACTGTAGGAAGTTCTGTAGTTTAAGTTCTACCTGTGGAAGAAGTAGAGGACCATTTTATCCAAATGGCCAAGATTCACAGAGCACTGAAAACATAAATGATCTACCCTGTAGCTCACTTTCTTCCTGAAATTGTAATTATAGGAAGATTTTAAATGTTTAACTATTAGACTCAAAAATAAACCAGGGTCCTAAGGCAGCCTGTCCAGTCCTACCCTTTTTTTTTAATTATTATTTTTGTCAAAACAGTACAAAAGTGAGTGCTAATATAAATGGTAGACATAAATTCAGGCCCTTTATAACTCAGCATTTGTATAATAAACATAAGACAACAAATAATACAACATAGAAAAGTCTGTGGTAATTAAATATTAAATTTGCACGTCTAATAATCAGTAAAAAGTGATAACAAAAGGAAAAATCAAACTATAAAAAATTGAAAAAATGTTCACTATTGAGACTAGGGATATATCACTATCAATCCCTGCAACCAGAATACTTAAAAGCAAAGTAAGTTACACCATATATCCAGCAAAGGATTACAATTGCATTTTCAGTGTAAAGTAGCATTATAGACTTATTTCCAAAAAAATATCCAGAAAATAACCTCACAAATGCTCTTGGATTCCAACATCTGCAGTTTAATTATAAGCTTTTCCAAGACAAAGAGTATTTTTTCTTATTTATCCTATATTTCTTGGCATCACTAAGCATTAGGTTTAGCACAGAGTGGAAAATTTTTTATTATAATTCTATACTGTTATAAAGATTTATGCTTAGTTATCCACTTCATTTTATGGGGTTCACTGTGAAAAGTAGGTACAGCCCAGGAAAGACTAAACAAGAGATGGGAGCACTGACAATCAGCCAGTGCTCGTGTCACAGATGGGACTATATGACCAGGAACTTCACATACATTAATTTACAGCAGCTCTTAGGTATTGGGGTTCCCGTTTGCTATATGGAAACTAGGCCTCCAAATAAGAAATTTATGGCCCAAGGTCCTATTAACAATAAGCAATAGAAACAGAATGCAACTTAGAACTGGAAATGGCATGAGAATTAAACTGTGACCTCTACCCCCAACTTTAAGATCCTGCCTCTCAGTGAGATACTGGTGGCCTGAGCCAAGGCACGAGATGAGAATAAGACAGAGGGTAGATAATTCCTACTTGCTGTATTTTATTAATGTCAGAGAAAACGGTTTGGTATATGAAAAATTTTGGAAGTATTTTTTCTATTTATTTTTAGACAGAGTCTCACTTTGTCTCCCTTGGTAGACTGCCCTGGTGTCATAGTTCACAGCAACCTCAAACTCTTGGGTTTCAGTAATCCTCTTGCCTCAGCCCCCTAAGTACCTGGGACTATAGGCATTCACCACAATGCCCGGCTAGTTTTTAGAGATGGGGTCTTGCTCTTGCTCAGGCTGGTCTCAAACTCCTGAGTTCAAGTGATCTTCCTGCATGGCCTCCCAGAGTGCTAGGATTACAGGATGAGCCACCACACCTGGTCTTGGAAGTAGTTTTTATTCTCTATCTTTATTTTCTTAAAAATTGTGTTTATCTATATTAGGCATGATTTTTATATTAAAATGCATTAAAGATTTACTGTAGCAAATGATATAAAATTGTAGACTCCTGATTAATAATATCACACATAAAGACATTTTTTTCAATCCTATTTCTTTGGAGAAAAAATTCTTGGTTCAAATTATTCTACTGTTGTTTAAAAAAAAGGGGGTACCATGTATATACACACAAGTGATAGAAAATGAATTTGAATATCACAGGCAATAGACGGGAGAAGGTAATCAATGTATATTACATTTAATCATCATGGTAGCCCCCTGAAGTAGGAATTGCCTCTGCAGCTCACAAATGAGACTCACTAATGTTAAGTTACTCGCTCCCAGTCTCAGAGTAGAGCAAAGGCATGGCAGCAGTAGAATTTGAACCCACCTTCACCTCTAACTGTGTGATCTTTTCAATATAATATGTTCCCTTTCGCTGGCTGAGAGCTGATAGTCATAACATTGAAAGTGACCAATGTGAATAAAATATGTTGACTCCTTAAGACTTAAGAGTGCAGAAGCAAAGAAGGAGGCCAGGGACACTTAGCATTTATCAGCAGAGAATTACAGACTTTCTAATGAGGAGGGATAATACCCAAGAAGTTTCTTTATGCACATCTGCTTACTGTTTTAAAAATGTAACCTGGAGACTGATCTGAAGCTCAAACGCATTGTGTAAATACAGTGCATCTGGTGAGGTTTTAACAGCTTCTGAGTTTAAAGTGCCATATGTCTCTCAGTTTTCCACACCCTAAAATAGGCGGCCTGACAAAACTAGACAAAAGAAGACACTAGGTTTATTTTATCAGCACCACATGCTAACCGATTGAGGGATAGAGCTCTGATACTAGGTTTATTTTATCAGCACCACGCGCTAACCGATTGAGGGATAGAGCTCTGATACTAGGTTTA